GCGGGAGCCTGCGCCAGCTTCTCCTGCTGCTGAGAGCCTGGGGGTGCCTCGGGTTCAGAGGATGGTCTCCCCGTGTCTTCACTTGTCTGCCTGTGGGTCCAACAACTCCCCACCCCCTGAGAGAAGGCAAAGAGATCTTCCATCGGCTGATTCACTCCCTGAATGCCTGCAATGACTGGAGCTGGGCTGGTTCGAAGCTAGGAGCCTCTTGTGGGTCTCCCACGTGGATGCAAAGGCCCAAGGACTTGAGCCATTTTCTGCCGCCTTCCTAGCCCATCAGAGTGGAACTGGAGTCCAAGTGTATCTTTTGGGACTTGGACTTTGCCCGTGTGGGATGCTGGTGGTGCCACAGACAGAGGCTAAGCCTGCTGTGCTATTGTGCAGACCCCTCTTTTTCTTTTTGTACTCCCCCAGATACCAGCCGAGGCTGAAGCCAGGAGCCTAGGACTCCAGCAGGGAGCTTTATTCCTTCCCCTTGGGCAGCAGTGACACCCAATTAGTTGAGCTATCATCCCTGCTTTTCAGGGTCTGTGTTAGCGGAAAGCTGGGATCAGGAGCTGGAGCCAGGATGCAAACCCTGGTGTGGGTTGCGATGTCCTAACTGGTGTCTTCCACATCTGGCCAGATGCTGCCCCCGTCTGAAGGACGTGGTGATTCTTGCATTAGGACTCCCCCTGTTTGCACTCATGGTCACATTCCTAGGTCCTGAGCATTGGAACTTCTGTGTGTTTTGGAAGGACTCACTTCAGTGTGTAACAGAGGGTAACAGTAGCAGACACTTGTCATCCTGTCCCTTGGTTTATTGAAACGAGGCGAGTGAAAAATTAGGGTCTTGTTTATTTGTTTTAAATATTAGGAGAATATGCAATAGGTTTTTATCATGAACAGATGTTGCATTTCATTTAATGCTTTTTCTGCATCTATTAAATCATTTTTTCTTAAATTCACAACTGTGGTGAATTAAACCTTTAATCAATATTTTATCTCAACTGTTCCATATTCTGTATTTTCATATATTGGTTGACTCAGTGTGCTAATATTCTTAGTAAGTATAATCTATGATTTTTCTTTTTTCTTATGTATCCTTTGTTGGCCTGAATATACTTACACTTTTTAAAAAAATTATTTGTTTAACCTATGAGAGAGACCTTTTTATGCATTGATTTATTTCCCAAATATTGCAGCAGCGCGAGCTGGGCCAGGTGGGAGAGAGGAGCCACGAGCTAATGCTGGTCTCCCACGTGGGCATCAGAGACCCAGCACTGGAGTCGTCAGCTGTTGCCTCTCAGGGTGTGTATTAGCAGGAAACTGGAATGGGAAGCGCAGGCAGGAAGCAAACTCCAAGAACATGTGAAGGTGTCTTATGGGACCACATAACCAATGCAGAAAACATCCACTCCCAAAGCTACACTTGACGCAGGATCCATGAAGTAAGGTAGGATAGAGCCCCCTTGGAAGTCAGAGTTACAGAGAGAGAGAGACAGAATGAGAGAAGAGAGATCTCCCCACCCGCTGGTTCACTACCCTGATAGCCACATCTGCCAGCGCTGGGTTAGGCTGCAGCCAGGAGCCAGGAGCTTTATTCAGGTCTCTCGTGTGCATGGGGGTACCCAAACACTTGAATGGCCCTCTGCTGCTTTTCCCAGGTCATTAGCAGGGAGCTGGATTGAAAGTGGAGCAGCAAGGTCATGCAGTAACACCAGTATGAATGCAAGTGCCGGAAGTGGCAACTGTTATGCCACAGCACTGGCCCCTCTCTTTTAGTTTTTATTCTCTGAAAAATGTCTTGTATAAAATCAAAACTGGGTGATTTCTGAATCCGATGGAACTTCCTGGGAGAACGGCCTGGACGTGGCTTGTGGAACGGAATCCTTGAAATTGGAATGTACTCAGTGCTCTGTGTTGCCCACAGCCACGTTCACAGCCGCTCCCTGGTTTTAGCTGTGTGCCATGGAAGGCGCATCAGGCCCCTAGAAACCTACACAGCTATTGTAGCAGGCCTCCCTGGGAAAAACAGAAATGTATTTAAAACCTATGGCTAATACCAAAATCTCCTGACCCTTGTTTAGCCAGAAAGAGTGGAATTGTTGGTTTTGAACTGAGTGTTAGGAAATTCCCAAGGAAAGATGATGCCAAGAACAAGACATTTTTATAGCAGTGGCTGCAACTGCCAATTGAAAGGTAATGTTTCTGTGTACGTCTGTAGACCAAGATTGGTACCCTTGCCTCGACATTTTTAAAGACACTCAGATTCTAATTGTCAGTGACAATATCATTAAAAAGGAGAGTAAGCACGTTCTTAGTTTGCAAGAAAACAATTGCTGATTTTTTTTTTTTTTTGTCCTTAGCGTATACAAGAGTATCTCATATAGCTTGTTAATAAAACTCAAAGATAAGTTTGGGGGCAGGAGTTTGACCTGTGGGACCCGTGTGTACCATGTGGGTGTAGACTGGGGTCAAGGCCCAGCTCTGGTCTTGATTGTGGCTTCCTGCCTGCGTGCACCTTGGCCCGGGCTGTTGGGTGTGGGCCTCCCACATGGGAGACTTGAACTGGATGTGTGTGTGTGTGTGTGTGTGTGTGTGTGTGTACACATGCACATGTCTTCCTCCCAGTTCTCACAAACACAGATAACTTCGTTTTGGTGGGGAGAAGAAATTTGAAATGCAAAGTTTTTCTGTCCCTGAGACAACTCATGTCATGTTATCACTTACTTTTCCTGGTCCATTTTTCTTGGGGAGCTTGGGAGACTCAGGAAATGAGGCAGTGGTTTATAACTTTGGTTGATTTGCACACTTAGATGTGCTTGCTGTATGTGTATGCTTTAAATTTTTTTTTTTTAAATGATTGTCCCTGCAATCTCCTGGCATTTCTCAGAGTTTGTATTTTGAAAAATTTTGAGGAGGCATGAAGCTGTTGATTGTTTGCAGAATAGGCAAGCCTTTGATGTTCAAACAAGAATTTGTTTTTTTTTTTTTTTTTAATCTTTTTTTTTTTTAAATGTCCTTGTGTTTTGCTGATTTTTTTTTTAATTTATTTTTATTATTTTTTATTGGAAAGGCGGATATACAGAGAGGAGAGACAGAGAGGAAGATCTTCCGTCCAGTGATTCACTCCCCAAGTGAGCACAACGGGCCGATACTATGCCGATCCAAAGCCAGGAGCCTCTTCCGGGACTCCCACGCGGGTGCAGGGTCCCAAAGCTTTGGGCCGTCCTGGACTGCTTTCCCGGGCCACAGGCAGGGAGCTGGAAGGGAAGCGGGGCTGCCGGGATTAGAACCGGCGCCCATATGGGATCCCGGGCGTGCAAGGCGAGGACCTTTAACCACTTGCGCCACCACGCCGGGCCCTCAAACAAGAATTTGAATTTTTGATCCTTCTGAGCGTCACGATTAGGGGTGAGTTCTACACCTTGGCGATGCTGCTTGGACTCAGGGTCCAATGGGAAGGGCTGAACGATACGGCAGAGATGTGACTGAAAGTTGATCTTTTTCTGTGATTCCGATCTTAGTGCAGTAGGTTTGTCACACGCACTAGACTGTAGAGAGGACCTTCCTAGTGCCTTAAAGAACAAACCGTTTGTAAGTACCACGGTGTCGCCTCACCAGCTTTCGTGCAGTGATTCTGCTTTCTAGAAGCTGTTGCTCAGTTATGATAGTAGATCTGTATTTAAAGGCCTGGACAAGAACACTTAGCTTCAGCAAGCCAAGTAACCGTGGCTACCAAATAACGAAACACTATTGCATTTATTTTCAAATATTATGAGGCTTAGGATTTTTTTTTAACAAACCATATACACTTTTCAACTCCTCTATTTTGCTCCCCACATTACAGAAGATGGTTAAGCCTCTCCATGTTGTTGCAAAATGTGTTCAGTTTCTTTATCCTGCTAAGTCAAGGGAATGGCTAGAATTGTGGATGGTCTGCTTTGAGGGATGCGAGAGTGAGAGGAGTGTGGGTCCGGAGGCCTGGGGTTTACATCTCTGTGGGAAGGGTGCTGTGCTTCAGACTCCCAGTGGCACAATGGCTGTGTCCTGCCATTTTCAAAGATAGCCCTGGTCGATTAAGCAGTGAAGGACCAAGTCTTTTGTGTATCTTGGCCTACATGTCAGTGTGGGCATTTCACCATTAGCATGTATGTGGAGAAACAATTGCCTGAATGGGTTTCAGTGACTGTTCCTGGCCCTGATGAAAAGATGCTGGTGCTTCAGAGTTACCTGTGCCACAGATTGGCCGGTGCCCCCAGGAGTCCGTCCCCCAGCTTCTCCAGGGCCCCTAGGAGCCTGTCCCCCAGCTTCTCCGGGGACCCCAGGAGATACGATTCTGTGGCCGGTGGGGGGAAAGAAGAAGCAGAGAGCCAAGGGTCAGCATGTGGCACGGTCCTCCTCCTGTGGAGGCTGAGTGGCCCTGGAGGACTCATCCGCCCACCAACTGGCTGCCTGAAGGACAGGAGAGATTCAAGACACATCTGTACTGCTTGAAGAGTATGCTCTGGGAGAAGAGTCCACAGCTGGGCCAGAGTTGGAGAGAATACAGAGGAATTCAAGGCCTAGTCCAGCCTCGGCGTGCCCAGCCAGGACCCTGTAGTTTTTACCCCACCACTCCCCAAGTGCAAATAGAAGCAGCCCTAGAAGTTCAAGGGGATGGTGGGTGAGGATGTCTCTGGCTTTTCTGCAAGCTTTCTGTTAGGTTGCCCGCAGGTGTATACGTGTCCGTGTCTTCCTACCCACTCGGGGTCTTCAGGGGTGGTGGGAGGTGGCTGTGTGCGTCTCTGCTGTGTTGGGAGTCAGCCTGCCAGTGCCAATCAGAAGCACTTGCGTGTACCTGCTCCTCTGGTGGGAAAGGTCACGAGGAATCTTTCCTGTGTCCATTTAGGATCCGTGTGGAATGATTTTCTTCAATGGAAATGATAGCTGGAGAATGTGGGGGACCTTCCATTCTTACTTTTACTTTCTTCCCCCCCACTCCCCAAGTTCATTTCTCTCCCTCTCTCTTCCTGCAGATCCACCGGTAGACATGATGACCATCAAGGCCTTCACCCTGGTGTCTGCCGTGCAGCGTGAGCTGCTGATGGGCGACAAGGAGCGCATCAACATCGAGTGTGTCGAGTGCTGCGGCAAGAACCTGTACGTGGGCACCAATGACTGCTTCATCTACCACTTCCTGTTGGAGGAGGACAGGTCTCTGCCCGCCGTGCCAGCCACGTTCACTGCCACCAAGCAGCTGCACAGACACCTGGGCTTCAAGAAGCCCGTGAACGAGCTGCGTGCAGCCTCGGCCCTCAACAGGCTGCTGGTGCTGTGTGACAACTCCATCAGCCTGGTCAACATGCTGAACCTGGAGCCCGTGCCTTCGGGCGCCCGTATCAAAGGGGCCGTGACCTTCGCCCTGAACGAGAACCCCGTGAACGGGGACCCGTTCTGCGTGGAAGTGTGCATCATCTCCGTCAAGCGCAGAACCATCCAGGTGTTCTTGGTGTACGAGGACCGGGTTCAGATCGTCAAGGAAGTGTCCACCTCCGAGCAGCCCCTCGCCGTGGCTGTGGACGGCCACTTCCTGTGCCTGGCTCTGACCACGCAGTACATCATCCTGAACTACAACACGGGGGTCTCCCAGGATCTGTTTCCCTACTGCAGCGAGGAGAAGCGGCCCATCGTCAAGAGGATAGGCAGGCAGGAGTTCCTGCTGGCGGGCCCAGGAGGGCTGGGTGAGGATGCTTAGCACTGCCACCGTGAGCGTGTCTGCCCTGTCCCCTTCTCCCGGGGGAAGGGGGAACCGCTGGGTCCATGCTGCAAGCAGGGGAGTGGTTTAGCTCTGAAAAGGAAACACTTCTGACAGTGTGAGTGGTTTTCAGAAAGCAGTTGGAAAAACACATATTACCGAAGAAATTATGTAGGTCACATTTTAGAATTTTGGGGGGGCCACCCAAAAGTACTAATTTTCCAGGCTCTTTTTGCAGTCCCCATGTAAGGCTCGGCATTTAGGATGTGTGGCTAGGCCACCAGGGAAACGCATGGCTCTTGTTTGCTAGGAGTCCGTCAGATTCTCTGGGGAAATGTGAAATTAGCAGAATGGGGCAGGCTAGTCAGAACACCAGCTTTATTTTGCGTTCAGGCGGCGCTGGAAGACGGCTCTGGTGGGCAAATTTTCTGGAGGAGGCAAAAATAGAACTCTGCGAAGATTTCCTTCTAAGATTTTTTTCCATGTGGGTGGGTTTGCCGCTTGACTGTTTTCACTCCGTGTTCTCAAAAGGAGTTTGGAGGTGGCTGACTTGCGCATGCTCAGATCTGGAGGCTTCTGTGTTATTCCAGAATGTTCTCTTTTATTTCCCGTCATTTCATCCCACCAGAAAAATTCTAGTGGTTAGCTCCTGCACTGGCTGTTTCAGCGTGGCCTTAGCGAAGCCTCTGGCCAGCTTCAGCTGAATGAACCATCAGCTGTCAGTAATGCTAGCAGTGTCTCCTGGTGTTTCCTGTTAGCATCGGTGGCTCCTAGTAGCATCAGTGTGTTGATGCTATTTCCCAGGATGCCAGCAAGAGAGAATCTATTCCAAAGCCGCTATTATTTTTTTTTTTAACCTGAGAGCATTTTGGTGTGAGCATCTCATTTTTGAAGTGGTGAGTGTGAGCTCATTTCCTTATAAGAGGAAGACTAAAGATCAGGAACTAGTGAATGTGCATATCTTGATTTTTTTTTTTTTTTTGCTCTTGTTTTTAAAAAAGCAGTTTCCTTATGTTTTTAAGCAGGTGGATGTTCACAGTTGGAAGCCCAGGGCCTTCCTCTCGGTCCCCTTGCCCCTGTGTTAGGGACATCCGTGGGTGACCCTAGCAGACCTGCATGGTTAGCGCGGTGCAGGCTGCGGCTCTGGGCACCAGGTGACCGCGTGCAGCTGCCGGCTGAGTGTGTTGGGGACTCTTCCGTTCTCCCTGCTCCCCTCCTGGCCCTGACCAACTGCTGCTCTTCCGACTGTCCTCACCTTTCCACAATGTTGGCATTCCACAGGATGTAGCCTTTTCAGAGTGGCTTCTCTCTTGGAGAACTATGCATTTAAGGCTTCTTGGTGTCTTTCCATAGCTTGGTAGCTCAGACTTTGACTTTCTCAGGAAAAAAATTCTGGACCTAACAACTTTTTTTCTGAAGAAATGGAATTTTTTTCTGCGGCGCATGCAAAGAGAATAGCTTAATGAACATGATCTGAACTGCGTGAACAGCACCCAGCTTCAGCCACTGTTCTCCATCCCATCTACTCTCACTACTTGGCTATTAGCTTGAAGCAAATCTTAGGGAACAAAGCCTTTCAGTCGTAACTATTTTATTGTATGTTTTGAAGTTGTAGATACTCAAACTTAACAGTAATTCCTTTGCATTAGCAAATATATCTGGGCATGTCATATGTAACAGAGCTGCACATACATAATATAGACATCCTTTTTTTTAGATTTATTTATTTTTATTAGAAAGGCAGATTTTACAGAGAGAAGGAGAGATGGATGTAAAAATCTTTCATCTGCTGGTTCACTCCCCATGTCGCTACAGTGGTTGGAGCTGAGTGGATCTGAAGTCAGGAGCCAGAAGTTTCCTCCAGATCTCCCATGTGGGTACAGGGTCTCAAGGCTTTGAGCCATCCTCTACTACTTTCCCGGTGTATAAGCAGGGAGCTGGATGGTGGGAACTGGAGCATCGGGGACACGAACCAATGCAGGGGGAGGATTAGTCAATTGAGCCATCATACTGGGGCCTCCTTCTGTGTTTTAGTATTGCAGGCTTTTTAAAATTTACTTAAAATTTTTAAATTCTATTAGATAAGCCTTAAAAAAAAGATTTATTGTATTATTTGAAAGGTAGAGTTACAGAAGGAAGGAGAAAAAGAGAAGGATCTTCCATCTGCTGGCTCACTCTCCAAATGACTAATGGCCAGGGCGGGGCCAATCCAAGGCTGAGAACGAGGAGCCCTTGCTGGGTCTCCCACATGAATGCAGGGGCCCAAGGCCGTGGGCCATCTTGCCACTGCTTTCCCAGGATGTGGGCAGGGAGTTCAACTGGAAATGGAGCAGCCAGGACACAACTTGGTGCTCATGTGGGATGCCACAGGCACTGCAGGTGTAGGCGTAACCTACTATACCGTGGCATTGGCCCCACATTTGATTTAAAAAATTTTTAAATTTTTAATTGTGAGGTAGAGTGAAAGGAGAAGAAAGAGAGAGAGTGGGAGAGAGAGAGAGAGAGCAAGAAAGCACTGTCAGCTACTAGTTTATTCTCCAAATGACTGTAATGGCCAGGGCCGGGCACTCAGTCTAGGCGTCCCATGTGGGTGGAGAGACCCAGCTACCTGAGTGATCACCACTGGCTCCCACGATCATCTTTAGCAGTATGCTGTGCTCAGGAGCCGGAGCTCAGAAGTGAACCCAGGCCATGAACCCAGGCCCTCCCACAGGGGACGTGGACCTCTTAGCCGCTGGGCTCATTGTGCACTTTTGTCTATTTTCTTTTTATCTAATGCTTATTTGTTTTCATCTACTTGGAAGGCGAAGTGACACAGGGATATCCGTCTGCTGGTTTGTTCCACAACAGCTAGGTCTAAGCTGAGCCAGAGCCAGGAGGCCCAAAGTCCATCTGGGTCTCTCACAGGGACAGAAGGACGCCTGCCGCCTTCTGCCTCGCAGGACGCCATGGCTGGATCAGAAGCAGGGATGCTAGGCCATCCACTGTGATCCGGATGTGACCTTCCCGAGCAGTGGCTTAACCCTCAGGCCACAGCACCCCCTTCCTGTTCATTGCTTAGTTTGCCTGAATTAGTTCCATGTGAGGCCCAGTCCCAGCATTGCAGTTGGTTGATAGATTTGTTAAGTTTCTTTTAATCTTTGTTTCCCCTCTCTCATTATTTTTCTTTAATTTTAGCACATGGTTGCCCCAACAGCTGCCCACCACCTGTTTTTCCTTGATCGGTTCTCCTTCGTTTTGTTGGTCATGCCACTCAGACCTTGGTATTGCCTGAAAATGCATGTTTCATCTTTTATCATTATTATTTCTTTTAAATGTTGATGATCTTTACATAGCATCTTTAAAAAGCATGGCTGTGGAACATAGGCTTGAAGTACGTGCCTCGGAGTAGGGGTGGAAGAATGTATATCCGATTTTGCCCCTTTGACAAGTCCCTAGGAACCTTATGCCTGCCTTGCCTTCTGGAATGTTCCCTGCTCACTTTGCACATGTTTTGCTTCGTGCCTGGGGCAGCCGTTTCCCGCTCTGCGGCCCTGTGTGTCCAAGCTCCCATGTAAGATTAGATTGATAGAACCTGGTGCCCCCTTTCAACCACATCAAAAGTTTCACTCCTCTGTCACCCCTTGCTAATTAGCCTTTTACCAGCCCCACCAGCACCACAGTTCCCACAATATAATTGCTGGAAAAAAACTTGATTGCAGCCCTCTTTGTCCCTAGGGTACTGGGACCGTATGGTTCAATTACCGTGCTTTAAAGTCACTTGCAGTAGTGGCCCTCTGTGTGGCTGTAATGCCAGCTGCTTAGATTGATTTGCTTCATTTTACTTTGGATTTTTTCAAAAATTGCTTCATTTACTTACTTTTTTGATTTTGTAAATATTTGTAAAATTCTAAGGCAGACCAGTCCAGGAATATACAATCAAAGGAGTTTACACCTTGTGGGTAATCTTTGTTTTTCACATTTGTCCTTTGATTGTTCAGTAACGACTATAAACAGATATGCTCATATATTTGTATCTCCCTCTTTCTGGGCTGAATGGTGGTGTCCTCTCCCGGCTCTTTCCCTCTCTTTGTTCTGGGCTTCGCCTCGTGGTGTAGACACTGGGTTTCCCTCTCTCTGTTCTGGGCTTCTTCTGGGGGTGTAGACACTGGGTCTTCCACAGCATGTGTTACTGTTTGGGGCTTCCATCATTCAGTGAGATTTTGTGGGGGGACACTTGAGGTCTCTCCCCTTTTCTGATGTTGAATAGAGACTCATATCTTTGTGTGTGAGTTTATTGATCTTGTCTGCGGGAAAGCTTTCTAGAGATGGTGTTGTTGAGTCCTGGGGATAGTAGCCATGTTTGAGTCTTGGTGAATGTCACCATATCCGTCCTCCAGAAAGACTGCAGTGTTTTATGTGTGTGGGTGGCCTGCAGTGCCCGCTTTACCCACATCCTGCATCCTTACCAGCAGAGGCTCTTGGCCAAATGTTTGCATTCTTGCCACCATAGTACCAGAAAAATGGTATCTCTGTTTTCTTTTAGGGTGGGTTGCTTTTGTTTCCACATTGATTTATTTGAGAGGCAGAAAGACATGGAGCTCACTGCCTTCTTCTGGTTCATTCCCTGAATGCTCACAAGGGCAGGAGTGCCAAAGCCGGCCAGCAGGAGCTCAGTCAAGGTCTCTGGTGTGATTGGCAGGGATTCCATCACTTGGACCTCGTGACTACCTCCCAGGGCCCACGGCCATAGGGAGCTGAGTCAGGTCTCAAAGCGAGATGCTGCAACATAGGATACAGACATCCTGACTTGGGTCCTAACCACCAGGCAAGACAGCCTCTCCTCAATGTCTTTTCGATTCTATTCTCTCTTTTATGTACAAAATTGAACACTTTTCTTATGGTTAAGATCCATTTGCCTTTCTTTCTTCCTTTCTTTCTCTCCTTTTCTTCCTTCCCTCTTCTCTCTCTCCCTCCCTTCCTTCCTTCCTTCCATCCATCCATCCA